GCACCGGCTGGTACTGTCACGACTCTTCTTCACTCTTTGCTGCCGCCCTATTGTCTGTCATCGATGAATGAAAAATGCGCACACAAAAGTCAATTACATGCGTTCTTCTGGCGTTCTAGTAAAATAGACGAAAACCTGGCATTATGTTATTTTTATTATATTTTTAGTTTCCTTTTGCTCTTTTCAGCAATTTCCTCGAATTTCATTTCTCTCTTCTCTTTGTCTGACAAATGCCAAGTTGAAGGGTTTTCCTTTCGCTCATGTATTATATCATTCATCTCCAGCATCCATTTGGCGTGGGCGTTGACCGGCAGGTTGCAAATCGGTTTTTGAAACTAAGTCGAGATACCTGTTGTGTTTAGTCCGAATCAATATGGAACGCATATAAAATATATCTGCTAAGAAAATATATTTAAAGATTAAGGACACACATTAACAATTTTAGTAAGAATTTATCATTGCTGAAAGAATATTTATTAATCTTAAAATATGTTTATGAAACTGTAGCCAAATCAGGAGCATCTTTTTTTTGCCATTGTGTGTTTTCTTGCGAAGCGCAGAAGAGAAGGGTCCTAAGCACAAGAAGGGAAACACATATGCTGTCCTGTATCTGCCATATCAATCGCTGAATCGAAGCGTTGTCATAACTGCTTTTGGTTTTGGCAGTTTCTCTTATCAATTTGCTGCAAATCTCACAGAATCGTTTGAGCTGCATTGTTTACCTCTATCCCAGATGTGCCCAGACATGGTATCTGCATATGTGAATGTGTGTGCGTGTGTGCGTTTGTTATCCTTGTTTGCCAGTGGAAATTCGCAAGGATTAAACGCACTCAAGCATTGATGCGCATCTCAATTGTTGGCCGTGTGTGTGTTTTAATGCTCGCTGCGACAATTGCCAAACTCTCGATTGATCGTTATCGATAAACATGCTATCCGATCGCTTGAGCAATTTGCCAAACTGTTTGCTTTGTGGCCTATGAAATTGAAGCCGATGTTTATCAATCGGTGAGCTCAACCCATGCTGAAGCTTCGTCCTGTTGCTGATCCAGGTCCCAGCGCTGGCCCAGATTAATGCAAAAAGCAAATGCTTATAGCGGAAATTCCCTGCGTACCCTGTGCAAATAACCAAAGAGAGTTGGCATACATATTTGCTGAAAGAAGCAAAAAACGTCCAAAGTTTTCCTATATTTCAGCTTTACATTTTTGTGGCATACTTTAGGGGTTTCCACTACAACGTTTATTTCACAAGTTTAGCTTTAATTTAAATGTTCGACTTCCTTACAGGGTATCTTTAGTCAGGTTCACATAGCTTTGGCGTTGCCCAATATTTTGCAGGTCGTCAGCCGTTTGCTCCCCACTTTGATTAACATTAATGAGCAACAAAAAGTGCAAAATTTACATGGCAACATCGTCTTTTTTTTTTGGGCCCTTTGTTGTGCGGGACCCTTCGGAAAATGTTCTATTGAAATAAAAGTTGGCGGCAATGTGTGGCAGCACCTGCCCCCGCAACAGCAACAGTAACGGCAACAACAACGCCAACAAGGGGAGCAGCAACAACAACGATTTAGGCATTAGACTCCATTGAAGTGCCGTTGATTTGTGGCATTTGCATACGCTAAAGCGCTTAAAGCCTCAAGACCCCAATCGCTGAAGCTAACTCAAATGGGCCTGTTAGCCGGCCATACATACTCGTATTCATATTGTGTATTCATTATATTCAGTTGCATTTTAGAGGCAGTCACTCAGTCAGTGGACGGACTAGAGAGGGGCCTCAGATTGCATTGTCAGCGCCTTTTTGTTCAACTACTCATTAACATTTATTTGCAAGTGCAGAGAATGCAGAAGAGAGGCAAAAGCAACTGCCATGATAAATACGACAAACCAACAGACAAACAGACAAACGAACAAACAAACAAACAAACGAAAGAAACAACGAGCGAATAGACAAACACAACAGACAAACAAATGCATTGCGAAAACAACGAAGAATGGCAGCGACATTGCAAATAATCACCGACTATGCGAATACTCTGTCAAAGATTGAAGAGTTATTGCTATTAAACTTTTCTCTCGTCTTTCTCTTCTATTTTCCTTTTATTTATATTTTCCTATATACATTTCTGAAGTTATTTAGGCGATTGCACAATAATACAAAATAAATAATAATAATAATATTTTATAATAACATTTTATAGAAAAGAAGTATAATAAGTTTTTAAAAAGCATTAGCTTACTCAATATCAATTTGACCATTTATCCAAATCATCCCGAGTACAGGGTATACTATGTAATAACAATGGCTGCCTAACAGTGAAAGAGACGCAAATAGGGACAGAAGCATTGCCAGAGACAATGGCCAGAGCCAAGTACATAGGGAGCCCTAAAAGTCACATTCAAATGCGTAGGGCGGTTCAAAAACTAACAATTCCTCGTAAATAATAGTTAAATATATATATATATATTTATTCGATCAAGCTGGATAATTTCTTTTTGCTTAGATCCAAGCCGAACTATCCGAACTAAAGCTTAACCCTTGACTTTTCCCAAAAAGAGCTATAATCCCTAGGAAAGTGGGTCGGTTCGTGAACCATATTTTCTATATATTCATTTTTTAAATTTTAATGAAACAATGTTAATGGTAAAATTCAATTTTAATTTCTAACTGCCCGTTCGACTGAAAATATTGCAAGTCGTATATATTTGCATATAGAAGTTTCGGGCTACATTTGATCTCCAGCCAAAATTGGTATCTACCAAGTATGGTTGGATAATTCCAATGACTGGGGCCCAAGGTTTTTATGCTTTGGACCTGAGTCTTTCTGAAAAGTTTCTTGCTTTGAATACAAATATTTGTTTACCAAAAATGTAGTTTGAGCTGTTTTTTGAGCAACTGCTTTGGTTTAAAGTTCGGTGCATGGTAAACAAATTGAATTCTGGGTTCAAAAGTGAAGTAATATTATTTATAATGTCCAGCTTTCTATGTATTTATTTTGTAAATCAAAAACCAATTTTTATATTTGGGACGATCTTTATATTGTTTCATATTACTTGAAAGAACTTTTAATCTAAATTGAGCGAGGGATGAATCAATGAAAATTGTAATTGAAATAATGTTTCATAGTTTTTTAAATATTGCAACATATTTAACACACCAGTGAAACTGCCCTCGTATAGCGAATGGCACAGTTGCAATCGTCAGTCAGTCAGTTAGTTAGTGAAAAGAGAGCTGGAAAAATGAGCGCCATTGTTGAGAACTTGCAATTGTTGACTGACAATTGGCAAAGAAGGTAACGAATGCAGGCAGCTTGTACACCCCCTGCTACCCTTCGCACTGTCACGGCGCTTCCTTGGCTAGAATCTTGAGTGGAAGTGGAGGAGCTGCTTATGTCATTAGAGCCAAATTAAATTAGAATAAGAATTAGAGCATTGCGATGTGGCTGTGTGTGTATTTGTCATTAGTTTGTTGTTAATTAAAATGAAGCCAAAGTGCGAGTCGAGGCAGTTAAATAAAATCAAAATCAGCGCTAAAAACCGCCCCACGAAACAAAAGCAAACACCTGCGCAGCACAAATAAACACACACAGACACGTACACAAAGTTCTATAAACAATGGCGACAAATGGAGCTGTCGCAGTCGCAGTCGCTGTTACCGTTGCCGTCGTAGTCGCTGCAGTTGTCATGGGCAACAGGACACCAAGGAAATTAATGAAACAAAGAGCTGCATGAATATGAAATACGGGGAATGGCTAAGGCAGCTGCTGGCTACAACAAGGACTTGAGCGTTGCATTTTAAAGCGAGCCGTGTAGATTAGCCAAAAAAAAAAAAAAATAAAATCAGAAAGGATAAAAATAAGAAAAGGCCAACAGACCAAACATGTCAGCATCAGTTGGAAAAGTGTCCATTAAGATTAGTTGATTTTGCTTTCGATAGTTTGAAGCGCTAAGTAAATGCGTTAAATAAACAAAAACACAAAAATAAAACTCCCAAGCGACTCCCATTTGACACCCAGCCATGTAAAATACGTCGCCCCCCAACCAGAGGCAGCGACGTTGGCGACGGCAGTCCGCAGTCGCAGAGGCAGTTCCAATTGGAAACGCCCACCAGCAGGCATATGCAGCAATAGACGACAACGATGGCGAGCCTTGACAGTATTGCCATCTCGCTTGCACAATAAGGCAACACCTGCTGTGCGTGGCGCTCAATTGGCGCTCTTGCCCGTTCGCTCTCGCTAGCTCGCTCGCTCGCACGTTCACTCCCTCGTTCTCTTCATAGCTCCCTGCACAGCTGAGCGGTGCTCTTTTTACTTTTTAAGCGTCGCATTTCTTTGCTGTTTTTTTCTTGGCTCAAGTGTCACCTGCACCTGGTCGTGGTAAACCGTTTGGGACGGTGTTGCTGGCTGAGCTGCCTCTCTCTCTCACACACACACACAAACACACCGATGACAACCACACTGACTTATTTGCATGCCCACTAATTTTCTTATGTTTCAGTTATGCGTGAACGTGCGTGTTTTTACAAGTTACAAATTGTCATCAAAAAAACTTATTAATCAACAGCAAAATCAAACAAATAAACCAATAAAATGCTGCTGCTAACCAGTTTCCATTCGCATTGGCAACTGTTTATCTGTGTGTGTGTGTGAGTCGGTGTGTGTGTGTGTGTGTGTGTGTGTGGAGCGAGAGAGCCACAAATGTGTTGAGTGAGCAACTAAAAGTTTGCATGGCAAAGCTTCTGGCTCCCTGCTGTCCATGTATGTGTGTGTATGTGTGTCTTGGGTCCGTGTGTGCATGTGTGTGTGTTGTTGTTGTTGGTTTTCTGGCCTCTGCCGCTGTCGCTGCAGCCAACCCCCCAAAAATGACAAGTCCGTGCGACTCGTTCGTCTCTGGCTCGTGTGAGAGCGCGCGCCAAGTTTTTAGTTACGCGTCGGAACGGATCCGTTGAATAGCCGCCAAGCCAGAGGCAGCGCTTAGAAGTCGCAATAGCAGCCGCAGCCGCAGCCGCAGCAGCAGCAACAGCAGCAACAGCAGCGACGGCCTTAGTTTTAATCCATAGTTAAATAACAACAACAAACACAACAACAAGAGACAGACCGGAAAAACGTTGTGTGATCATAAGCAAATTTGTTGTTTTGTCGCGTTGCAGTTGCCAGTTGCATGTTTCTCGTTGCCTCAACTTAACGAAACGCTTAAGCGACGGTTAGCTGACCAACAAACATTACAAATGCAAATACCACAACAAAAAAACGGCTACTTTCCAGTGTTGTATAATATCAAATGCTTTCGATAACGCCCCAGTTTCCAATTGGGCATACAAAAACCTAAACGCACAGTGCTCAACAAAACAAACATCAAGAATTCCAATACCAATATTGTTCGTAAAGTCGTGAAATCTGAAGCATAAGCTACTTATTTCGATGTTAAGCAATAACAAACAACAAAAACGTCAAACAAGCTTCGTTCCCAAGCCCAATGAATAAATAGATGAATGAAAGGCGCGCTCAGAATGCCCGCTTAAGCAAATAAACAAAGATAAATAAACATAAACTAGTGCTATCCAACATGTAATGTGCAAAACAAACAGCGACAAACATACATAAACATAAATACTGAAACAGACACAAAGCTTCCAATCTTCAGCTCAGTTTGGTTTAGCTCGTAAATGTCTCTCGTAAATTGATCACAAATTATACAAAACTCAACCGCTTATGGAATTCAAGCCAACAAACCGCTTCAGCAGCCAACAACAACACGCACATCTAAAGTTTTTAAGTATTATATAGAATACACCTGGGTATACTATATTCGACTCCAATCACTGCACAGCAAATACAAAGGCAATGCAGCGCCATTCAAGGTAAGCCTTAAAATTAACTTCATAAACATTATTCCACATTGGAAAAGTTACACATATTACTCGATGATAGGTAACTAAAGGTAAAAGACAACAAAATACTGAATTTGAATTATAGATTCATAAACTAAATATATTCTATTAAAACAAATTTGCTTTACCTTTTTGCGAAATCTCGAAATTGAATAACAAAATGATGTCTCATAAAGTGAAATTCAAATTTTCGATCTCTGGATCAGTTTTCAGGGCGCAAACATTTGAATTTGGATAATCATTCAGTTTATGCCGAATCATTATTGTCGGAATCTTTATGAGTTCGTTTCGCTCGTGTCGATTCTTGTTTTCTGTTTTTCAACAATCGCATCCTTCATAACATGCTTGGTTCTTTTATTGTTTTTCTGCGTTCAAATTGTTGGAATGTGAAACCAATAAAAACAGAAACAATATTAGCAGAAACCAATCGCAGCAGAATGGAGTTTAGATACAAAAAATATGTACTTGACTTTCATTTGAAATGCTTCAGAGAAAAGGCAGAGTTTCTTTCTATCTTACGTATCTTAGCAAACGAGTGGGGCATTGTTTCCATTACAAGCTCAAAATTCTATATATAATTTAGCATGGCAAATGTGCTTCATTGGCCAACTCAAAGTATTACCCCTAATAGAGGTCAGTTATGCCAGAAATGACGCAATTCGCTCAGTGTACACATATACATAATGAACAAATAAACGATTTGGAGACGTGACTTTCGATTGAGAACCGTGCCCAGAGTCTACACTAAGTTGAACTAGTTAGTATGATACCAGGCACAACTGCAAAATGCTGATCTGAAGACCAAATACAATTGTGCAAATAGAGTTTTGTCAGCACACAAAGGTGGCCGCATATTTTGCGGCTCGGGAAACAATGGTAATCTAACAGTGTGTACAAATGAAGCCAAATAGAGGTCCAGATGTTATAGGTGTATACATGTATGTCTGATGGGGCTGCAGATATTCGCACAGCTCCGTTACAGAAACAAGCAAGAACGACTTTAGGGCATTCTAATTAATATCCATATTCGTATTCACATGGGTTTTTTTCTTCCGTTGAGTTTTGGGATTTGCCCTTGGCACGAACTTGACACTAAACCAAGAGATACATTTACGATGCGATTGTTGCGAGTGTGAAAGTTCTTAATTACAAACATTAGGGGGCCCCAGCGGCTTAGGGCTACGGATCACAATCACAGCGTGTGCCCAAGAGACACTTTTCAATGGAGTCTGGAATGAAGCATGGAATGAAAAAGGGATTGGAACAACGGAGACGGCTCCCAGCATAAGTAGAAGCGGAACGATACATTTCAACACAAAGTGGAGACACTTAAAGCTCTACCTGTATTGAATTGAGATTCTCGACTCTCGACTCTCGATTCTTGATTCTTGATTCTTGATTCTCGATTCTTGAGCCTAACTGCCACTCCAGAGAGCTGAAGCTGCCTCTGGGCCCATGCACAGGCTCAGCATGTGGCTAAGCCGATCATAATTCTTGTTTGACACTGCAACAAACGGATGAACAAATGAACGAGAAGCAAGACAGGGGCTCCAAACTGCCCGGCAGCCGTCTGCCCGACTGCCCGGCTGCCCAGCTGCCCAGTCGCAGTCAGTCAGTCTGCAAGTGTCCGAGTCCGAGTCTGGCAACGACAACGGGTAGCAGAGGTAACAAGTGGGAATGCTTTTAAATTTGACAGTGCCCAGCTATGTGATACCCTGTAACTTGACAAAACATTTACACATTAATTGAATGTGTGAATTAAGATGGGAAGGCAATCATTTTTATCATTTCGACATGCTTATGCCGTAAATTATTCAAGAACTAAATACCCTGTCAGGTAGATCGAACCGGTTGCCTTGTTAGTGCATACCCTACGTGAACTCTTACCACGCGGTATAAATATTTGCTTATGTGACCGGCGTGGTAATTTACTCCTACTGCGTCGAGGCATCGCCGCCAGAGATTTGCATGACAAAGAGAAAAGCGTAGACGATGGCAGCCGTTACATTGCCCATAAATAACTTGGCCGATATCTATTAACGCTTTTACTGGTGTTACTGGATTAGCGCAAAAGGGAATAACAGAGCACTTCATACAGACGAAGGGCCATAGGATTAGAACCTCAGCAGCCCACGCCCTCTCTCTGTCTATATATTGATTGATAATTTGTTATACAACTTTTACATTAAGCGAACGATTTTCCGTTAGTCAAGCAAAGAGTGGGCAGCATTAGGGTCTGGGCCTGGGGTAGCGTTATGTCTGGTAGCCGCTGATATTCACAGCAAATAAAAATATCTGAAGTGCAATTTGTGCACAGCTGGTGGTGCAACCGGTGTGCTGGCGGTGGCCTGTGGTGCGCTGCCAGCTCCAAGCGTGCACCACATTTGGCCACAACTCGACGCTACCCCAAACACTTTGCGATCCAGACCAGCTTGACAACACACAGAAATTTGTTTGCACTCCATAAGGATTACAAAAATATGCGTGTCCCTTTTCCTTTCCCCTTTCCTCCGGCAGGTTGTTGTTTCTCTTGCGAACCCTTCATTTTTATTCTTTATCTTCTTTTTTTTTGCATTTAATAAATTTCATGCTTAATACGCATGCCTGGGCAATTTTTACTTTAACACCAAGTGGGTAATGCCCGGAAGCAGTGCAGATGTCGCAGTTGTCGTAGGACACAAGAGAGTTATGGACACGAAAGCGGTAGGCGACCAGGATAACCGACTGGAGTGCAGTTTCAATGGTGCCAGCCAAAAATTAAGAGACTTGATAAATTCGCATAAGGATAAAGTAAATGACGGCATACTTGATAGCTCAGTTTAAAATGTGCCATTTACCTTATATATGAGAAATTCCTATTATATGGTTAAATTTTCTATAATCTCAAAATGGATACTATATGCCAGTCAAATCCAGACAAAAAGTTCCCCATCTCATAAAATATAAAGTGCAGATGACACATTTGTCGAGCATTAAAGAGCATTCCATATATGCAGAGCATGCGGACGCAAATGGTGCTCATATATGTGCTCGAATGTCTTCCGCACGCCCAACTCAATTGTTGTCCAGATTCGAAGCGTCGTCCTCGTCGACGTCATTACTGCACCATTAAGCAAATTGAAAGCGTTTAGACGGACGCTGGCTGGGATCTGCTTCTTGACCATGAACTGGGAACCCTTTTTCAACTACAACATATGCGTATGTGCGTGTGTGTGTGTCTGTATTTGTGGTGTGTATTTAACACATTAATGCGAACGAGCCACACTTGGCTTGGGCATCAAGTGGACCACATAAATCCCGATTATAATGCACGCACATGTGAATTAAAATTGAAAGACTGAGGAATTGAAACCTATCAACGGCATTGACCTGACCTGTGTTGGGTGCCCAAAAAAAAGTAAAACGGGCAGAAAACTGAAAAGAAATGGGTTTTCAAGTGCCCAGATGCATAATGAACAGGACGTATCCAGTATGTTTGTGGACGCCGTCGCCGGCGTGTGCAGCCCGTCCTTTTAAGGGTTGACATTCAGCCGTATAAAGAGTTTCGAGAGAAAAGGTTTCATTCAGCTGGAATCTCGGAATTGAGGTGGCGACCGCTGGCCCTGCTTTAGCAAGTGCCTGTGGGGCAGATCGATTGTTTTCGCTTTCTGGCAAGGGGACACGGCCTGACGTGGAGTTTGTTGTACGGGCGAAAGGCGACACACTTTTAAAAGCCGAAATCAATTAGCTAATTGATTAACAAAAGCCCAAGAGCATTAATAAGGCAAGAAACTTCAACGGGCTGGAGTGTGTGCATTTTAAATTTGTATATATTTTAATTAAATACATGCTAGCATTAATTAATTCTGTCAACAGCTCGACTTCTACTCTTCAAAGCACCTTAACCACTGACACCACACCGGCAACCACACAATCCCGGCCTAGAGCCAGCAGCAATTCGACTGCAGCTCCGTCAACAAAATGATGGAACGCTTATCCACGCACTTGTCGCTCTCTGGATTATCGCTCGCACATCCATTGCAGGGTCATTTAAGCTCGGTGAGCTCCAGCAGTGGCACGCATCTCGGCCAATTGATACAGCATCATCAGCAACAGCAGCAGCAACAACAGCAACAGCAGCAACAGCAGCAGCAGCAGCAACAACAACACACCAGTGAACAGAGTCACGCCCACAGTCACGCCCATCATCATAGCCAGCAGCAACTCTCGCTGGGTCAACTGGGTCAGCAGCATCATCACCATCAGTGCAACAGCAACAGCAGCGGCGGCTCCCCCAACGGCAACGGCAGCTCCGCGCTGAGTCTGCATCCACATCTGCATCATTCGGCGGCCGCTGCAGCGGCAGCTCATCACCTGAGCTCCCAGCACTCTCAACTGCATCAGCATCATCAAGCAGCAGCAGCTGCGGCAGCAACAGCCGCGGCGGCACAGCAGCAGCAGCAGCAGCCGCACTCGACAGGCTCACATCATAGCCAGACGGCTGGCTCCGGCGCGGGCTCCATACACAGCCAGTCACAGGCGCAGCCGCACCAGACATCGCACAGCAACGGCATTGGCCAGCATCTGTCGGGTGGCGCGGGTCACGGTCTCGCCAGCTCCAGTTCTAGTGCGCCCGTGCACTACACATCCACGTCCAGCACATCAAGCAGCGTCATGGCAGCCGCCGCGGCAGCTCATCTGCACCACAATTCGCAGGCGTCGCCCATTAGCAATCTGCATCAGAATATGGGCAGCCTCATGAACAGTGGCAGCAGCGCCAGGTAAGATTCATTAGCTCTTTAATATCGCATATTCTCGAAGGCCTCCTTTTAATAGCGAGTCTCGCATCCATTTACAGCGACGTCTTCTTCAGCCTGATGATACAGAACACAACGAAACGCCAGAACGAGGAGCACATAAAACGTCCAATGAATGCTTTTATGGTCTGGTCACGCCTACAGCGACGCAAAATTGCTCAGGATAATCCCAAAATGCACAATTCCGAGATATCCAAAAGGCTGGGTAAGTGCGCGAAGTTAATGTTTAATGTTTACTTTAGACAAATTCAAGTTGCAGAGATCAGTTCAGTTTCAAAGAGTAGATAATTAGATATTTAAAGGCTGTAAACTCAAAAGAAAAGTCGGTGGTTCGATTCACATTTCGAACCAAGCTTGTTGTGAATTTGGTTTATACTCTGGTGTGTCACTTGCCTGTTGTACTAAGAATAGTGCAATCCTCACATATTTTCATATACAAAATGCGGGCTACATTTGACCTTTACCCAAAATTGGCATCTAACTAATATGGTTAGATAAATTGGGTCCAAAGTTATCTCTACAAACCATGCTTTTGCAAAGCTTTTTTAGCTTATGGTTCGGTTCAGATTAAAAGTTAAAAGTAAATTTGAATTCCAGACTCGAATCGGTTCGTTTCAAAATCGGCTGCAGCCTTGCTTTATATACAAAGTCTATATCTTTGTGAAACACTCTGTCAAATAACAACAAAATCTCATTGTTATTAGCTGTTCAAAAGTTGAATTATAAGTCTCAAGAACACGCGAGCAGCTCAGCTGGATGCCAAATTGTTTTCGAAATGCATGCACTTTAATCTCTTCTTTTTTTTTTAACGAACCACATTGGGTAAGAGCCGTGGCTTCATATATAAGCACTCGTAGTATGTTTGTAATCTGAAGACAATGAACAAATCTCACACAAAACTAAATTAAGAGGCGGCACACGACCTGCCAATCTCTCGCGCCCACTCACTCACACCCTGAACATCGTTCACTCTCTTTCTCGCGCCTACTTATGCAACTTAAACTAATCAACGTAATACCGGCTGGTATTCCCCCCCTTTTCCACCCACTCCATATTCGGTTCATGACAATGACAAACCAAAAACTCGTCCGTTGCGCGCACTCAACGCAACTGTCAAAACTGACAAGCGGCTGTCAAACAATAGCAGGAAGAGCAGATCGAGCCAAGGAAGCTGTTGATTATGCTCGTATATGTGGCAGAGAAGGGTTGCCTGCAGCCAACCACACCCACCCCCACCACAGCACATGCCAAGTAAGACTCTGGCGAATCATCGCCGCCTGCCTCCTGGCGCATTGTCTCGCCGCTTAACTAGTTGCAAAGTTAAGTAGTTTATTTCGGGTGGGGCGGCGGCTAATCCCACGCACACACAGCGAACCTTATCTGGGCTCCGGGTTCGGTATGCTAGATTTTGGTTTCCAATTCGCATCAAATTCAATTTCAATCACACACTCAGCCAGACAGCCAGCCAGCCTGGCAGCCCATGAGGCACGTGGCAAGTGACAGCAGAAATCTTTAGCATAACAATGGGGCAACAGGCAACGCAGCTACCTTTCGGCCAACTCATGCATATTGGATGAGTCTGGAGCCGCAGCAGTTCGAGAAGAAGAAGACAACGCGCTGCGGCTCCTTGCACTAATCAGGGCCACAAAAAAATACTGTCATAACAGCGATAACAATAAGCCCAAAAGGCGTCCCTCATCGATAACAGGCGCAAAGTTGATGCCACAGAACTTTGGGGCAGCCATTTTGTGCAGGTTTTTTTTTTCTTCTTTTAATAACAACTCTACGGGGCTTCCGATTCCATGCAAAGTTTTCACCTCCCTCTATCGAGTTCCCGCCACTGAAGCACTTGTAAAATGACTTTTTCTTTTTTTACCTTTGTTTAAGCAAAAACAATGCAAATTAAACGCGACTCACTTGCAGCGCAGTTGAGCGCGGCAACAACAACAACAACAAAAGGCAAACTCGCTGCACTTGAACAAGGGCAGCAGCACCGGAGAGGGGGGTGGGGTAGTAGCCGACAAGTATGCAAGTATTTTGGCAGTAATCGACTAGAAGATACCACGTTAACTGTCCAGCGAGCTGACATGAAGAAACTCGTTTTAATTATACTCATATTGTTGTTTTTAATAATTGTGGAACAATATATAACCAAAATATTGAAATTATGTCATCAATGAGTCAGTGCTAAACAAAATTTAAATATTTGTTAAGTAATAATTATATCCCTTTATATATATTTGTAAATGATCAAGTTCGCAATGCCCAAATGTGCGCAGTATAACATAATTTTGAATATTACTTTGAAGGATTCCAAACATTCTGAAACTGGATCGCATCTACCTTCTAGTTGTTTAGGACGTAGCCAGGCAATAAGGGTTGTTGCAAGCAAATGACGCTGTTTTTCACAGCCATTAAAGGCATTTCTTAATCAGGCAACTGGCTGCCTTGAAATCGGTTTTCAGGCAACGCTTCCTGCCAAAGTTCAAGTAGCAGACCGAACCAATATATGAAAATCGATGCGCAACAACAACAATTTGAACACAATAGAGGTACACTCCACAACAAAACTTGAGTTTTTGGGTGGGCTGAGATTTTGTGGGAAGGCGTGAGCTTTTGTTCCCATTTCATTTCACCTTTTTGCTGTTGTTGTTGTTGCTGCTGTTGTTGTTGTTGTATTTTGGCAAATCCATTATGTCAATTGACAGTTCTGTGTAATATTTGCTGTCAGTTGCAGCTTTTGTTGAGTTTGTATTTTTGAGCAGGGAATACGGAAAAAGACGCCGGTTGGCCATTGTGAGCTGAATGAGCCGCTGAGCAGAGTGTGCCACAAGGAGGCTCAAGATGTAGGTAACTCGCTTAAGATAACGAGGAAATAGAAAAACGGGACAATTCCAACAACTTGCTGAAATTGACATTTGACAGTGCTCTGAAGAATTTAAAGCGCAAACTTTGTTATGGCAAATGTTTAAGCTACTGAGCAACAAGGTGGCAACTCTGTCAAAAAAAAAAAAAAAATGAATAAAATAAACCATTTGCCACATCTACACAAATGACAAAGTTTTGCACTTGAAAACTTTGCCCTGGCATTCAATTAAATGAAATAAAATAAATACCACAAAAAAGGGCTCATTATGAAAAATTGCGCAGAGAAAAGGCGGCAAACAAAAAACTGTGGCAGCAACAAAGGCGCCACAAAAAATGGCGGCGCGAAAGCTACTTTTTCAATGCACACACACACACACAAACACACACAGATACAATGCGAAAGGCAGTGCTAAAGAGCGTCGGGCGTTGAGTAACGGTAACTGGCAACTGGCGAATGGCAACTGTGGAGAGCTCTTCAGACGTCGCCGTCGCCGTCGGCGTCGGCGTTGCCATTTATTTTATTATGCAAAACAAAAGGAAAACAAAAACAGCAACAACAACAACAACAACAAATAGAAATAAAATAAAATAAAAAAGATGTGTTATATAGAAAACATTTTTTTTTTTGCGCACGCGGGCTTAATTGAAATTGTAACTGTCATTAATTACTGTCTGGAAATTTAAATTAACAACAAAACAAACAATACGCGACAGCAACAATAACAACAATTGCAACAACAGCGAAAACGGTGGCAAACGACATCAACAAAATGGCAGTCATTTTTTTTTCTTTTGCCCGTATTGAATGGAAAATTGTTTTGAAAATAATTGAAAAACCTGTCGAATCGGCAATCGCCTTCATTTTTTAATCAAAACTCTGCATAGCTCCTGCGGGAATATTAAATAATGTTAAACAAAGCCCCCCGAGAGATGGATGCCTGGATGCTGACTGACGGGTCTCGAACAAAGGGAAAGACTTCGACTTGGATTCGATTGCGACTTTCCATTGCGACTGCCAACACAAAAGGTCGAGCTCTCAAGCCTTTGGCCCAACCCAGAAAGTCCTTTTGTTGCACAATAAAGCGCAAACAATTGATTAGTTTGCAATTGGGGGAAAAGGCAACGTTTCCAACTCGAAGCTCTGCCATGGCAATTGACAGGTGTGTGAGACGGTCGATGGATTGCCAGACTGTGGGCGGTTTTCAGCTCTTAATTACAACACGCTCAATCAAAACGAGAACCGTCAAAAAAACAGTTGTATAATTAGAAGAGAGAAGCCCTCAAGAGCCCTCGCTTTAACACTCAGCAAGTGTCTTCAGTCTGTCAACGGGAAAACGCAGCAGCCTATTTCCTCAGTGGAAGCGAGAAAAAGTACGGATAAACTCAACAAAGCAAGGCACCTGCCGAAGACGCCTCGCTGAAAGAAGCTACGTGGATATAACCCTAATCATGTTCAGACTGCGCTGTCTCCAAACCCACCTGCCCTACATCCAGCAGAGAATCTATAATTCTGTTCTGTTAGGGGACCTTGCGGGACCTATCCAATAGGATCAAGTGCTGGCAGCTACAGTTGTTAGGAAGAATCAGAGAGTGGCGAGCAACTCTTCTGTCAACACTTAGCAAAATATTACTCTATCAGCTGTAATGTATTGGAAGTATTCGAGTTTGGGACTATCCAAAATCGAAGTAGCAGAGGGGCCTAGCTCTGGCCAATAGAGATGCAGCCTTTTTGCTCCAAAGAAAATAATCTAATCTAAACTAACCTATTCTAATCCCTAAGAGGAAAGCTTCACTCTCTTTTTATATACGTTTTCAGAGAGATTTTATTCGAAATTTGCAATGCACAAATAGAGATACCTATTTAAATATATATATGATCGGTACAGTCTACGCTGTCTGTCTGTCTGTACTAGTCTCTCCTGGACTATCTCTCTCACTCACTCCTCTAAATTTATCATGAATAAACTATGCAGTACTTTTATTGCAGGCATTATATATGCCGACCAGACTACTATATCATATAGCTGCTATAGGAACAATCGGTCAAAAGCTAAGTGTTTGAGTCAAACTAGATACATACAAGATTTCCTATTATCCCATGTACTCCCAACAGACAATATCTACATATATTCTTTACTCTCCATTAACTGTGTTACATACACCCGGAAAATGTTAGCGCTTATCCAGCTATTGCGTTAAATTGCAGAGCAAACAGTTTAATCTCTGGTCAAATTATGAGCTCGGGCTGGGAGCAAACGGTCGAGTGGGCGCCACGCTTGGCTCTCAGTCAACAGAGCCCAAGAGTTCAAGTCCAGACTCCATAATCCCATAAGTAGCCCAATTGTGTTTGATGTGTGAAGTGTCCCAAAACTAGCCGCATTCCCCTTCACAGCTACCCGCTCAGCCCTCAGCACCCTTGGTGAGGCTAGAACTGGGATAGATAAGTCGCAGCCCCAATTGTAGGCTGTGTGAACTACAAACTGCAACTGGAGCCGGCGTCTGTTAAATATTTGCTCTGTGGTTAGCATCCGACATTTTCCGGTGTTTCTTCAGGCTGTTGGGGTAAAAAGTTGTTAATTATGCTTGAGCCAGCTCAACTGGCTGCCACACATCTTGGCAACTGTCATGTGCAACTTGTACTTGTTTTTCATATCAATTATTAAGCTGGCCACTCAACCGGCTCAGGCTCAGGCTCAGGCCCAGGCCCAGGCTCTGGCTGTGGCTGTGGAGTGCGGGGAGGCGCCAGACGACAACGGGCAAACATAGACATTGTCCGATTGTCATCCTTTTGTGGCATGTCAACTCAGCAGTGCACCCCTCCTTAGTTTATACAACTGCTCAACTTGCTGATACGCCCTCCCTCCCACCAATCGCTCTCTCTCTCTCGCTCGCTCATTCGTCTTGTTTATTATTATGTGAATTGTCTGGAAGTCTATGCCCCCAGCTAAATGCTGCACAAGGTGTCGAGCACAGGAGCTGCGTTGCGCATTTGATGGCCAGTTGCCACTTGGACGGGCTGTCAATGTATCTATAAATTAGTATTTTAGCAGCAGCTGCCAGTTAAGGGGCAGCCAGCTACTTGCTTTATGTGAGTGGCCCCAACTTGCCATTGGAAGGGGGCGTGAGCGTGGGCGTGGGCACATGTCTATTCTTTGAGCACAATTGTGCTTTTGTGTTATGTTTATTGTCATAGTTTTTGTTGGACTACCTTACATCGGTGTCTATGCGAAATGTGTGTGTGTGGGCCTGACAGCTGTTTCTTCCTAACCCCGGCCATGTCCTGTAGATAGCTTCTCATTAGTATTGTGTCTCTTTATTATTGTTGTAACAAAGCAATTTATGTGACAGTGTGTGTGCATGCGGGCTTTTCAGCTACTAAAATTACACGTTATAACTAATTAAGGACATTTCCCTCAAGTCCATTTCCATTGTTGGGCTTATCCCTAAACTAATTTACTTACAATCTGTTTGGACAATGAAAACGATTATCTTGAAGTACGAATATCTCAAATACAAAGCGAGGATTTCAAATGAGTTCAAATGGAGTAATTATTGATGACAAATGCAACTAAATAATTTTGGACTCAAATAGTTACTATTTCTCTCTTTTTGTCGCTCTCTCTTATAATAACAGTATTATAATCCCAAGCTTCACACTCACATTTATACCCAGTTCATTTATAAATATATATATACATATATAACTTGAGGCAAATAAGTAAAGTGCTGCTTGTGGGGCCGGGGAAAACTCTTCACTTTTAGACCTTATCAGCCGCCTGGTGACACATGTCATTATAACATTTTACATTAACTTAAAAACATTTGCAATTTCTGCACACAATGAGGCACCCACAAGCTGCCTATGAGTCGACATACTAGCATATAAGCAAGAGGCTCCTGCCTGCCACTTGCCACTTATGAGTGTGCGGCACGTGCATATGCCATGTACTCATTCAGCACAAATACGGCAAGTCCGCTTGCCGCCCTCGAAGTTAGGGGCGGGAGAGCGAGACAGTAAGCGGCACAAAAGCACGCCCCCAAAAGGGCCCAAACCACCTGCTGGTTTTGGGCCATTATCGTGCAAGGACTCGGCAGCATTCTCTAACCAGCCAGAGCCCGTCTGAGCGGAGCTGACTGAACTGACAAACAGGCAACGGAGACAAACAACAAGACAACAACAGCAACAACAACAACAACTTTAACAAATGACAATGCCAAAACTGGCAACAATGGTGGCCACATAGACAGGGACAGACTGAAGATGGCCAAGCGACAATAGAGAGAGATAGAAGCAGCCGCAAAGGAAGTGCCAGGAGGAGGAAAATGACGACAACATTGTTTGGTATTTGGTATCCTTCTTGTTAGCACACAAATAAGACAAGTTTACAGTGTGCATGTGTGTGCGTGTGCTTGTGTGTGTGCGTTCGTCTGTCTGTGTGTCTGCCTGTTAGGAAATTATGTTTATGTGCGTCCACTTCTGGAGCAGGTTGTCATGAGAGCGCTTCATTGTGTTGCCATATATTTTGACAACTGCTTCAAGTGCCCAACGTAAAGTATCTAATGGATTAACCACTTTTCCGATTATATATAGCTCTATGTCTCGATTGCAGGTGCCGAATGGAAGCTGCTCACCGAGGAAGAGAAACGTCCCTTTATCGACGAGGCGAAGCGTTTGCGGTAAGTCCAGCTGCTGCTCTGCTGTGTCCTGCTTCAACATATTCTATCTGTACAGGGCCATGCACATGAAGGAGCATCCCGATTACAAATATCGACCTAGACGCAAACCCAAAGCTCTGAGACGCGATGGTTACCCGTATCCCATGCCATATCCATCGGTGCCAGTGGAAGCGTTACGTGCAGGTATGTCAGAGTATTACGAACTGTCTTTCATTTATGATATTTATAATAGCTGGGACAGCTTAAGAATCGGAAAAGGAAATCAGAATCAACGCTTTGATTTTCACAGATTAGCAATATCTGATGATCAAGAGATTATTTTAAAACTGGGCAGGGAGTAAAGAAAGTAAAGAAAACTGTAGAGAATTTCAAGCCAAAAACGAAGAGTATATTCCAAAGGATAAAAACCAATTAAATTGTAAACAAAAACGTATTATTAATCCCATTAAAATCAGTAGAGCTCAATGGCTATGCAAAGTAGTAAGGCGAGTTTTATGAGCTTTGCCATAAGACAAATGCAAATGTGGCACGATATGTGGCATGTTCCCACCCAGGCGTACAAATATAAATAACCATAGAACTGAATGAAAATATGACAAACTATCCGCACACTCGAGTGCCTGACTGGTTGGGCTTTTGTTTGTGACACAAAACCCCCTGCAGCCCCTCCCCCATTGGGACAATATGGCGTCGGGGTGGGGGCTTAGAGTTACCGGAACCACCCGTTCGCATGCCCTGACAAACTGTGAAGTCATCATCCTGGCTTAACAACTCAATTCAAGTGACAGGACAGACAGACACACACACACACACCCACACACCCACACACCCACACACACACACACTCACACACGGGACGAACCCACAGCAAAAGCATAAGTTAACATTCATGATTTCCCAAACGGAGCGGAGGGGGTGGCAGTGGGCGCAGTTCCATATAGTTCGGGCTGTAGTTTTTGTTCTGGTTGGAGGATTTAAATTAGCATTTGTCACGTTTTTTGTCTTTTTCGCCCATTTGGGCCTCAAATTTAACGCAAGTTTCTTGGCTTCAGTTATTCTGATGTGGCAGCAATTTTGTGCGTTGGCGGTTAAGGGATCCGTGCCGCCCCTCCCCATCCCCCGTCTAAGGACAATGCCTTCACGATGATTTATGCGCAACGGAAATGATAATAAAAATACTAGGAAATGCGTAATAAATAAAACGAATTAGTCGTCGGCCTGCTTAACGTGCACTTCAATGCACACGGCAGTTCGTAAAATGGCTCTGAGAGACAAGGACAGCGAAGTATGTTGAAAATGCGCTAGAATAGGACAGAGCATATATGTTAACCGAAGCATGCAACAGCTTCTATTAAAAAAAGGGATTAAGAGAACACATATTGAAGAAATTTACTGGCTGCATATTAATAAATGCCAGACCGTTGCCGATAATCGGTAAAGATTATAGTCATTGTAATTATTAATTTTGACGTAATCTAATCTACATATAAACAAGGAATTTCATGGCCAAAAGTGCTTTTAGCCTCTCAAGAGATTTTCTGACAAATAACATATATAAAAAATGAATTATTTGAAATTTTGTATAGATATTTTTTAGAAATGTATCTATACAAATTGTTATCTAAAGATTAACGACAATCAATACGAAAGTTCTGTCAGACAAGACAAGTTAATTTAAAATAAATAAATAAATAAAGCCGCAGCTGACAGTTAAATTTTTGTTAAGCAACTAATCCACTATTATGTGAAACAATACCATTGAAGACGATGCCAAGTCGATTGATGTCGAAATGTCGCTACTTGAGATGCTACGAAAGATGTTTTCAACATTGTTGTCTAAGCAAATTTAATTGCCACAGCATCCAACAATTTGGACAAGCTCAAGACTGTAGCGCCATGAATGAAAAGGGTTTTATACATTTATTTTTCAATAAGCGGCGCTTGTAATTATCGAGACCCGGTTAACAAAAGGCCAAGAGGGCAGCTGGACGACTACCGTTTAGGGCAATTGGTTGTAACTGCTTGGCATCTATCTATCAGATACGGCGAGATAACTCTCTCTCTCCGTCTGCTGGCGGCCAAAATAGCTGATTCAGCGCACAATTATATCGAAGGCAGACGGGGATAGAGAACGAGGTCCGAAATATGTTATATATGAAAGAGTTAAGCGAACAATGGGGGCGCAAAATATTTCGAGTGGCAATTATTTTAAGCACACAACAGACCCAAAACCATTGTCATAATTATTGTAAACTTATTTTTTTCCCCTTACTTGCTGCTGTTGTTGTTAGATTCTCTCACTTTACTTTGTTTGGCTTCACTTGCAGGCATCTCGCCGGGTTACTTTGCGCCCGGTCCCACAGCGGCCGCCTATCACCTGGGCAGCCATCTCACGCAGGCATCGCCGCCAACGACAACGCAGGTGAGTAAAACAGTCCGTGTTCCCGTGTCCGTTCCCGTTCAAGCTGTAAACCTGGCTCTGTGTCTGGGTCGGGGGGTTAAGCGCTCAAGTGCCTGGCACGTCCATCAGAGAATGTTGAACGGTAGCGCGTCCAATTACATCGATCGGTACGCGGGTCGCCTTAATAACATAATTACAAACTGCCTGGGCAGACGCCCACTTTAAAAGGCGGACAAACATGCGGCCGTGACTAAGCGCGACACGCTTCCTGATCACGATTCGATCCTGGTTAAGTTCTGACATGTCATGCTAAGGATTTGCCACAACTTGTCATTACACATTTAGTTGCCGAGCAGATCGCTGAGATAACAAGGCCTCGAGCGAAAAAACAAACAGAACGGGCAGGTGCTACCACAAGATGGAACGGGGTACTCCGGTACTCCCCTCAGAGCCCAGCTGCGTAGTGTTACAGCCAAAAATAATAATATTAAATCGAAAAAACACACAAAATTGGCAATTAAAACTTGTGGCTTCGCTCAACACGCACCTCAGAATCATGGAACAGACTCGGCAATGGGCGTTGCCGCCCAGTGCTCCAACCTTTGGGTATCTTTTGTGTCTCTCTCACTCTCTGGCTGGCATTGGATGCGTATTTATTAACAACCCATTAAAAGTCATGACTGTTGCTTGGCATTGTTGGAGCCGTGTCCAAGTCTGAGGCTTGGCTGCCTATTTGAGGTGGTGATTGATGTCTGCGGCTGCTTAACATGCGTTGCGGGTGTTGAAAGCCTGGCATTACCCATCAACAATAGCATTACTTGGTTAATAATATGCCTGGACCAGGCCGTGGAAATATAATAATACACCAGCCTTAAAGGCAGCAAGCGTTCTCATTCCTCAAACTGAAATCTGTACAAGAAAATTGCATAGTGGGCGTATTAGAAGCCGGCAAAGATGGCATTTATATTCCTTAACTCACTTTCCACATTGCCGGGAAACTATTATGCCTGGCTTCAAAGAGCATAGATAGTAAAGGCCAAGTTTAAACGCATTCCAATGTCAGCCTTTCGAAAGAGCCGGAACGGGTAGCTCGGCATGGGCATAGAAAGTGATTGTGTCTGTTTGATATACCAGAAGAGTTTGCACAGCTGATTTTGGAAAACGAATCAAAGAACAAATGCAAACAGCATTTGTGACAATTTCACCCTGCCCACCTGCCCAAACCTTAACTGGATCAGGCTCAGGCTGAGGCCTCAAACCACTTGAAGCCACCGAGCCAAATCAATTAACTGCTGAAATAATGCCCAATTGAGAGCAGCCCGAAATCCAAACATAAACTCTGCGTAAATCGCCGTGCATCAAAATATTTACCAATCCACACTAATTCCCAATTGGGCGCAAATCAAATCAAATCAAATTGTAATCCAAAACGCTTTCGGCCCAAAAACACACACAGATAAACGCATGAGTCTCTGGGCTCGACTCCGACTCCGTCAGTTGGCGCTGATATTATTGTTGTTGTTGTTGTTGTTGCTGGTGATGATGATGATGATGACGATGTGTTAACAACATAATTATAGCCCAGAGCAAAGTGCTGTGCTGTGAACGGGGAGCAACCCCTCGAATCAACCACTCAAAACAAAACGGATATGAAGCAAAACAACCCCTGACGCACTTAGCACCCGTTCATAAGAGCCCAGTTCGAGGCTAAGTCCCATTCCCAGATCCAGTCGTAAGCCCGAACCCTACCAACCGACTGGTGTTGCAATGAGAAACGTATTGCAAATCAAATAACATTAAACTGAGACGTGTTTTTCTATTTATATGCTGCGTGGGGTTGTTCAACTCGCATCCACAATTAGTTGGTCAAATAAAGCCACAAAAGTGTTAAACAATTTGCACTAACCAAGGGTTACAACTCACACCCAATGCCCCAAAACAGGCCTTGGTTATGCAACAGGAACAACTCATTTTGGAGATATTGATATCATAGGAAAAATAATGTTTGTAAAAAAAGTTTCGGGAACGTCAGGGATACTTAAAAACAATAATCTTTGCTGATATTTTATGGGATTCTCGACATTGCTTACAACGCCAAAGACTTTTCATGAGGTGTTAGTTAATTGTTCCATTTACCTATTATTAAAAGAAAATTAAATGAGAAGAATGCAGTGATTTGTATTTATTTTGCTTATGAGAATTGCATAGAAGAGCGCCTTTTGGCACAGTACTTTATTTTTCACTCTTCCACTATCGGCTATTATCATATTCAATCATTTATTATATTGTATACCATCTCACTTTTCTCACATTTCAGGCGACACTCTCCGGACAGATGGATAAATTTGCAGCATTGGAACGCAGCTCGTATCTGAGTAATGCAGCAGCCGCAGCGGCGGGCAGCCAGGCGAGTGCCTACAGTGCCTACCTGGACCCCAGTGTGCTGACCAAGGCCTACTTCGACTCGAAGATGTATCAGGATCGTGCCAACTATGCCTTCGATATCTCCAAGATCTACGGCGCCCAGCAGCACGCGGCGGCACATCATCAGCAGCAGCAGCAACAGCAACAGCAGCAGCAACAACAGCAGCAGCAGCAGCAGCTGCTCATGGCCAGCAGTGGGGCTAGTGGTGGGGGTGGCGGCAGTGCTGGCGGCAGCTCGCACAACAACAATAGCAGCAGCGGGCTGGACGAGCGCGATGCCACACCCCAGCTGGAGGCGGGCGGGCAAGCGGAGGCCAAGCCGCATCTGCACTCGCCCAGCGACGTGGGCTTGGACTATGCTCACCAATATGCCCAGCAATATGGCGGCCAGTTGGCCAGTGCCGCCGCTGGCATTGGAGTCGATGTTGGAGCGGGCGCCGGAGCAGCAGCTGCTGGTGGCGGCGGGGCAGGTGGCGCCTCCGACTTCCGCCGACCGCTAACGGTCATCTTCTGACCACCATCGTCCAATGGCAGCGAGGAGTTGAACTTGTCTATGACTTAGGAAATGCGAGATTAAAGTTAAACGTAGCCAACTTTACAAATAAGCCTCGAGTTGTAAATTAATCATAAGCTTTGTTAAAATGAAGAGCAGCTCCGCAGTTAAGCAGCAGCTGAAGGAGGCGGAGAAGAGGAGATTCCGATTGAGGAGGTGCTTGGCGATTCTCACGAAAGGCAGAACAACGAGCGGTGCAATTTTTTATGTTTTAAACGCTGAACGAAGTGCATAGCATAAATTTAAATGTATTTAAATTCTACACATATACAACATTCAAATACAAAAAAAAAAAAAACAACATACAACAAAACAAATGAGCAAAAGTAAAATAAAATGCAAAACAACAGTGCTTTTAGTCGAGTGTGTCCGACGAGCTACAGATACCCTGTAACCAGTTCCGCAACAACCTAGTTGGCCTAGTTGCCCACCCCCACCAAGGAAGAGAAGCTATACTCTAGTGTACCAAGATGTCAAGTCTTTAAGATCAGCGCCGAAGAATGAGTCTACATCGTAATGAGAAAATTACTTCCTTCTGTCTGTTTCACACAGGCCCGAATACAATTCTCCCTGGGAACACAGTAGTAAAATACAAAACTAACAAACTTATACGAGCTTATAGGAGCTAGGAGTTTCTTCAAGGTAAGTCTACAAATACACAAACTTCTTCACTTTCTTCAAGCTTAAGTCAAATGGAATACGGTAGCTCGCTTTCTTTTATTCGGTAATTAGCTACTGCATCACCATATCCCATTTCTTCAGCTTTCTTTAAGTTAAACCACAAAATATCAACAACTTTTTGGATGTCGTTTATTTGGCCTTTAATTAATTGTAAGCGAGAGAGAGCTGCTTGGGGGTTGCAGGCCTGACAAAAGTCAAGAGCGCGCGAAACATTAAACGCTTCCTAATTAAGGCAACTCCTGGCGTCAGCTCCTTCTGGCCAATCAACTGTCGTTCCATTGCCCGTTGACGAGCATACGCCGCGGATTTCGTTTGCTCAAGCAGCGGCAACAACTCAAAGAAATTAACGTTAGCCACTAATTAGTGGGACTCAAGGTGTAAGAATCGCCGCAAATATAATTAATTTTACGCCGCTTTGCGCGCAGCCGCAATTAGTGACAGGCTGCTTAAACGGCGGAGCGGAAGGGTGTGCTAAACTTATATATGCAGTGTATTAAACGTAGATGAGAAGATAAGACTCATGAATTTCCATCAATGACCATGTTTGAGATGGCTTAATTGATGAGGAATCCGAGGCTGCTTCCAAGCCTAGATGGCGCCACACAATTGCAAGCACACACAGAAGGCACCATCAAATGTACTCGGCTTGTGCGATAACCCGACAGATGTCGCCCCATATAAGACGAACGTTCATCAACCAATCCGTACGAACTCAAAAAGGTATAACAATTCAGAATCCGACTATATTTATCCGAGATATTCAAAAAAAATCATCCAAAAAGTTATTATATTTGAACCGACCCCGTTTTTGATTAAAAACGTGATGTAACAACTTTTTTTAACGCATCGATTTTTAATTTGTTTGAATGTCAATTGAAACCAGGGATCCGTACGAACTCAAAAAGGTACAACAATTCCAAACACGACTATAAAAGTTTTTATTTTCGAGCCGACCCCGTTTTTGAAAAAAACGTGATGTAACCCCTTGCTTTTTTTTCGATTTGGGTCAAAATTGAGATATTTATTCTTTTTATGCCAATCGATAGTATTGATTATTACGAGTCAAAAATGGTATATCATTCCGAAATCGGACATTATTTGGCCGAGATATTCCAAAAAATCATCGAAAAAGGTTGACTTTACAAACGAACAGTTTTATGGTCAACAACTTTTTTTAACCCATCGATTTTTAATTTTTTTGAATGTCAATTGAAAGCAGTGATCCGTACGAACTCAAAAAGGTATAACAATTCAAAATCCGACTTTTTTTTTAACCGAGATATTAAAAAAAAATTATCTAAAAAGTATTTATTTTCGAACCGACCCCGTTTTTGAGAAAAAACGTGATGTCACCACTTGCATTTTTTTGATTTGGGTCAAAATGTAGATATTTATTCTATTAATGCCAATCGATTATTACGAGTCAAAAATTGTATCTCATTCCATACTTTAGATGTCTCCATTGATGCGGAATCCGAGGCTACTTGCAAACCTAGATGGCGCCACACAGTTGCAAGCAAACACAGATGGCATCATCAAATGTCCTCGGCTTGTGCAAAAACCCAACAGATGTCGCCCCACGTAAGCCGTGTGTTTATCAACCAGCCAGAGCGCAGATTCCAATTTAAAGGTATGTTAATGAACACTAGGTGGTGAAGGCAGAAATGGTGTACTGCCTAGGCTTAGCATCACTGTTGCTACCGTCACCTATCGTTGGGCATTTTCATATTCATTTTTTTTCATAGTGCATAATAGTCAGAACCGATGATCAAAATTATGAAACATCTTTAATAATACAACACTTTATTTACCGATATTCTAATCATGCAATTTGGTCCTCATAATCGACATTTTTCTTTTACTTTTAATGTTCCAATCGACAGTGGGGCATCTCAAAGAGTAAATAAGCAATATGACGTTATTTACCCGAAATATTCAAGAAAAAAACATAAGAAATGATCGTTTCTCAACCCTAACAATCACTTCAATTGAGAATTTGATTAAATGATAGTAGGCTTCCGAACGAATTCAAAAAGGTATTACTTTCAAAAATCTGATGTCATTTGCGCAAGATATTCAAAAATATACTTCAAAAATGGTCTGAACTTCAAGTCGACCCCATTTTTGGGTGAAAGACGTCCATTTGCCAACCTTAAATCAGTATTGATAATGAAAACGAAAGTCCTTAGACAGCATAGATATGAGTACAATTCTTTCGTTATTTAACAAAGCCATAACTCAGTCGTATCGTAGCGGATCCTGACATGTTCTGTTTTAAACAAATCATATGAGCAAAGACCATAAACGGTCCAAAGGAGAATTAAATCGTCCTTGCCGTTCCCGAGATAAAGCCTATTTTCGAAATAGGACATTTTTTATTAAGCTATGACTCGGCCAAATCCATAAGGATATCGAATGGATATATCGCAAGGAACTCGGAGAGAGCAAGACTATCGATTGGCGTTCAAAGATTTGCAGTATTCGACAAAATATTTCATCAAAATGTATTCTAGGGGGTTAGTCGCAAAATTGGCCAAAATCTAACATTTTTCGGCTAACTTTGCCATTTGAAAGACTTTCGGGATGTCCTTTGGCAGGTAGATAGCCCGCGCCACCCCATTAAAGAATTTACAACCCAAAGCACGAAATTCCTTCAGGTAAAGAAGTTAAAAGGACGATTTTGTTTGAAGAAAATAAGCCATAACTCGACCATGTCCTTGCAAGTCCTGACGAGTTATATGTCAAAATAATTGTGTTGACCAGGACTACCAGCTGCCGATATGACGTTCCAAAACGACATAACTCCGCGCGGAGATATGACGTTCCAAAACCAGCTTTCGTTAAGATCGTCCTTGTAGTTTTTAAGATATTTAAGGATTTGTGTTTTCGGGACATTTCCGTGCGCTCCGGGGTAGAATTTTTACAAGTCCAATTTCGAGTCACATGATTCTTAGATGGCCCCATATTATTATGATGCAGGTCATTGTCAATTTTCCGCATATTAATAATTATTTATATGTTTAATTTAAATGTGTTTTTATCTTTTCAGACGGACAAATTAATAACTACAATGAACTCTAAGGACCTTCACAAGTGACAGGATCGGACTTTAATTAAGCCAGAAATAGTTATTTTAAGTTTCAATAAGCTAAAATTATAATTTATGCTCGATTTGTATAATTTTAAGGGAAATAATTAAGAAATTTTATAAATTTAAACAAAAATAAATCAATTGTTTAAAATAAAAAAGAGAAATTCGTGTTTTTATTTATAAATTAAAAAATCAACGGTTTTTAAAAACCCATTGCATGACGTTCCAAAACGACATAGCTCCGCTTGGAGATATGACGTTCCAAAACGACATAGCTCCAAGCGGAGCTATGTCGTTCCAAAACGACAAAACGAAACATTGCATACCAAAAAGGGGCGCCAGGGTCGACGGCTGGGACCCAAATTTTAACTAAAATTTCCCAAAAATACCAGGCGAACAGAAATGCCCAGGAGGTCGACGTACAATTTTTTTCGGCCTTGGTCGGCGGCTACGCCCCAAATTTGCCCTTAAATTCCACTCAAATACCAGGCGAACATAAATGCCCAGAAGGTCGACGAGTGGTTTGAATAAAAATTTTCGCTGCAAAGCATAAAGGGGCAAAAATGTAACTCGATAAAAATGAGTACTGTTAAGTAGCAGTTGAGGTAAACTGAGTGCTGTAAAGCGGCTGTTAAACAAAAGCTGCAGCTACAGCTAATGTAAAAGGGCTCCTGAAAGTAAAATCATACATGTTTTTGGGCCATTTCAATGCACATTTTGCAGGGCTCTGATCCTTTAGGTTCAAAAGGACTTTATCATTGGTATGGTATTACCAAGGATATGTTAGTCAACTATAAACCATCCAAAGGGTCGGAGCTGCTGTTGAGGGCAGCTGTAAAAGAAAGGCATGCATATTTTTGGACCATGTTCTTGCGCATTTTGCTAGAACTCGGGCCTTTAGGTTCGCTAGGACTATATCCATGATATGGAATAACCAAGGATATATAGGTCAACTAGGTACCATGAATAGCGATCGCTGGATACGTGTATGTTGTCCACGGACGTGGCAGATTTGGCTGAAATATACAAAATGAAAAATTTGTAAATTTAAAATACGTTCGATTTTGAAAAAATATACATTTAAAATTTTACGAAAGTCTTGAAAATCGGCAGAACGATACAAATTTTGATTTTTTAAGAGGGATTTTGACGTTTTGAAGCAACATGACTCCACCATTTTAAGGTTCGATCATCATGATCAACCGTTTTTTGTCCATAATTTCTATGTACCCCGTGATTATTATCTTTTATTAAATGACAATCGATAATAGGCTTCTGTACGAATTCAGAGAGGTATTACTTTAAAAGATCAGATGTTTTTACCAGAGATATTAAAAAAAAATCATTTTCGAACCGGCCCCGTTTTTGAGAATAAAGGTGATGTAACCCCTTGCTTTTTTTTCGATTTGGGTCAAAATTTAGATATTTATTCTTTTAATGCCAATCGATAGTATTGATTATAACGAGTCAAAAATGGTATATCATTC